GGCCATATAAATAGTGATTAAATTTACAAAGTGCAAAAATAATAGCCAATCCCTCGCGTTCTACTTGTGGGTAATTTTTTTCAGCATTTGAAAGAGTATGTGAAGCGTACGCGATTGGGAACTCCTAACCGTTCGGTAAAACGTTTGAAACGACACAGCCAACCCCATACGGACGTGCATCCATCCTAGTCAGTTTAATCAAGTAATCAGGGTTAAAATGAACTAAAACATCAGAAGACATCAAAATATCTTTTACCTTATTGAAAGCATTTTCGCAATTTCTACACCATACCCATTTAGTTTTTTTTTCAAATAAATTATATTACGGGTGAAGAAGCGTGGCCAAATTAGGAACAAATTTCCCGTAATAATTGATCATACCTAAGACTGATTGCAATTCTTTTACATTTTTTAGAGCAGGTGCATTTTTTATGGCGTTGTAGTGTGCAAACCGCGCCTTTCTATTACGTAACCAAGATAACTAATTTTTTCTTGAAAGAAACTGCATTTTTCCGGCCTTACTTTCAAACCAACATTGTACAATCTTGCAATTAACTGTCTAATCTATCTAAGTGTTCATTTCGATCCGTTTCACATATCAAGATATCATCTAAAAAACACAAAAAAATCCTGAATATTCTGTGTTACAGAAGACATTATTTTCTGAAATTTTGCAGGAGCGGATGCAATACCATACGGCGATGTTTGATATTGAAAAAGACCCTTATGAGTTGAAATTGTTAAGAATCTTCATAGAAATCTGTATTGTTACGCTGAAATGAAATGCTGTTTGAGCCTTAGTTTGGTCCATATTAAATAGATGGCGATACAAATCAGATTTCTAAGTTTTCTACATTAACGATATATATTTTTGGATCATGTGTGTGATGCATAAAAATGTCCTTGAGTTGAATATAAAACTTTGTTACTACTCTGTTAAACAACGTGGAAGTCGTAAATAAAAGTCGTTTTGTAAAAGGAAAAGAGTAGTGTTTTTATCAATAATACAACAGAAATCGTAACCAAAACCTTGGACTTTTGTCTAAACAAATTTGTGCATACGCCTGTGAAAGGTCTATTTTTTAAAAGATAACACCGCCATTTTGAAAATAAATCTTCAACTGATCTCTAATACGGGGTTTAAGGTTATTTTGAAATCACCGCAAATTCGAACGGATCCTGATTTTTCAATCACGGGTACGATCGGTGTCGCCCACGGTGAATAACCAACAGGTTTGATTTATACCTAACTTTTCTAAATAAGCTAATTCCGCTTCAACTTTATCTCTAATTCCAAAAGGAAGGGGGCGTGCTTTTATGAATTTCGGCGAATGTCTTGATCTTTTAATTTCAGAGAAATAGTACCTCTATCAAATGTCCCTTAACCGGGAGAAAAAACGTCTTCAACTTTCGAACGACTCTGATACCAATATCAGAGTCGTTCGAAAAATTAACTTCACTTATACCAAAATCATACAGAGAATAGGAGGACCATCCTGTTTTATAACAAAAATTTTCAGATCTTTAACAATATCATTATAGTGTAAACAATCAAGCTTTTATCTGGGGGTAACAATTTATAAGTTGAAAAATTTTACTTATAAAACGTTTCAGAAATAGCTGAAATACTAGCTCCAGTGTCCAGCTAGAAAGCATACATTTTGTAGTCTAAACAAATATCAATAATAAATGGATTTTTCTCAATTTTCATGTTTTTAAATAAAAACAATTCTTCACTTTCAATGAAATTTTGTTCATAAATACTTTTTGATTGATTTTTGCCCTTATGTTTCTTCATTGGACAGACAGAAGCTAGGTGTCCTTTATTATTACAAAAATTACAAATGTATTCTCAGAAAAGGCATTTTTGTGTTGAATGATTCGCTCTCCCACAACACTCACATTTTTCACCTACCTTCACTCTGGTTGTTTCTTGCTTGGGTGACGTCGGAGTTTGATACTTCCTAGAAGTTACGTGGTGGACTACTGGCTCCATCTTGACGGTACGATGCTGGCTAAATGAACCATCAACTGCTGCCATTTCTGCGGTTGCTGTTTTAACAACATCGGCAAACTTACTCATCGAGTTTTCCTTGAATAATTTGGGCTGAATTGAACCTTTATCAAAATCAACGACAAATCTGTCTCACAGCATCATGTCTATAACTGCTTCTTCAAATTTGCAATTCACAGCCAAATTCCTCACTCTCGCTGCCCATTCGTTTGTACTTTCATGTGGGTTTTTAAACCAAGCAAAAAACTCAGATCTTGCCACAAAAAGAGACTCAGATACCTTAAAATATTTATCGAATATATCCGTAAGTTCCTTGTACGTTTTGTTTTAGGTAATCTTGGCAAACACAGATTGTACATCAACTTGTATGCATCTTCATTCAGAGCATTAAGTAAAATTGCTTTCTGCTTAGCATCATCCGTAATAGCGTTCACCAAGTAATAATTATCCCCAGTCACTCTCTTGAGCACTGAATTTTCGTATTTGTCACTAATATCATGGATTCTGCATTTTTGAAATTTCGGCAAAATTTTAATTTTAAAAATCCTTTAGATTTGTGGGTTCTGACATAAGTGTAATTCTACTCGTCGCCAGTTGACATATACTCTGGTTGGGAAAAATAAAACGGTGACCGCTTTCTTAAAATATTTATTTCTGAATGGCCAGCAACATGACCTCGAATCGCATTAGTAGTTAGCTTAATTCGATTTCACTTTTAACTTTGAAATGACCTCTACGTCACACGAAGTAGCGAAGGTGACTTTGAGGAGGTATTACGAGTTTGACCTTCAACGACCTTGACCTACGTCATACGGCAACGCAGACAAGGTGACATTGAGGTGCTGTTTTGGGTATAACCTTGAATGATCTTCATTCTTTCCCTATATTTTCGACAAGGTGACTTTGACTTCCAATGAATTCGAGCTAGTTTTGCATCACACGATCTAAGGTAACCAAGGTGAGTTTGAACGATTGTTTCGAGTTTGACCTTGAACGACCTTGCTCAACGTTACACAACGCAGGCAAGGTGACCTTGAGGCAGTGTTTTGGGTTTGACTTTGAATGACCTCCATTAACTTTCCATATTTTCAACAAGGCGACTTCGACTCTGAATGAACTCGAGCCAGTTACGGGGCTTCCTTGAAGTTTTGAACCTACACGACACAACGTAGCCAAAGTGACTTTGAAGGAGTGTTTTGTGTCTGACCTTGAATGACCTCCAACTACGTCACGCGATAGAGACAATATTATTTTGGAGTAGTGTTTTCGGACACCCAGCTTGTGGTAAAGAAGTAACCCCTCTTCTTCTTCTTCAACCAAGTTCTATAAATGTTCGGAGGATCACCATCTCACATTAGTTTGAATAACCCAACGTACTCGAATAGAAGTAGTGCCGCAAAGTGACAGAGAGTATTACGTCAGGAGTATACATAGCAATCCAGGTGAATATATTTTGTATTTCTATACTATAATTCCACTATATTCGAAATGGATCATTTGAAATTTAATATCGAGAAGATCAATTCTGCAATAATTCAACAAACTGTGGCTATGGAGCAGAAGCCTTTAATATCTTTGACTATCGATAAAGGTTATAAAATTGAGGAGATGTCGATGCTATCCACGCGATATGGTAAATCCATTCAAGTAGTTTTGTTGGACGAGGAAAATAATACTTCTTTTAAATCATGGCTTCCAAAACGTGTCACCGAACATTTTACGGAAGAAATGATTCACGAAGCGAATTCATCAAAGCCAAATTCATTTTTACATACATGGGTCAAAGTTCTCAGGATTATATTGGTGCCAAAACCTGCTCACTAGTCAAATTCGATATTTTAGATTGAATATAACTTCAATATATTTGTAAATAGTAGAAATATGGTATATTAATGTATAATATGGATTAGCTCCCGTGCTTCAAACATGATCAAATTTCAAGTGAGTGCTTTTTTTGCAACATAATTTCCAAACTAATGAATGCATTTTGTGTATTTTCAGAGTACGAACATGTGGATGTAATATTCAGCCGAAGAGTGGCCGGAAGCAGTCAATTTGGATTCTGCAATAAGGAGGTTGGCTTGGGAATTAGCCGACTTGAGTTTTGACGCTCTTCACTCATCAAACTATGATTTGAGTGTATTTTATGATGCTGAAGAGGTACGAAAACTTTTGGAGCTCAGCGAGAAATATGAGCTTGGTGTGGCACTGTGCCATAAATATTCGTATGGAAGCAGAAATTTGGATGAATTCTGTGAGCTAATAATTGAAGCAGACTTGAAGCATTTCCTTCACGGCATATCCGCAGAATACCAACCCACAACCGGAAAATCTTTAAATAATGGTGTTGTGAATATTTGAAATCTATTATGTACGTTATAAATAAAATCATGCTTCAATCAATGTTTGTCTATAACTGATTGTTTGATAAATAAAATGCAGAAGATAATTATTGAGTGTTTCATTATTTATCAATATTGAATACTCCATGGTGAATTACATGTCAATCTTATTACAATCCAGTCTGAACAGAGCCATTTAAGGCATTATAGGACAAAACAGCATCGTGTAGGATGAGTGCATATACTTTGGTGTTTGCTGGAAACTTCACCTTGCTTCACGTGTTTCGAATTCTATTTTGATGTCGACAGTAGATGACTTCATAGCATTGGGTTGGTGGGAGCAGTCGATGATAAATAGTGAATTGTTGCGAAAGCTACCAATATCCATCATCGGCTCACTCATAGCTTTATCGTAGTAGCTGCGTTGGAAGTTTTCATATGCATAGTAGGCTGACGAGTCTAACTTCTTGTCAAAATCTAGATTCAAACGCTCATATGGTTTACTTCAGAGTTTAGAGATAGTCGAATATTATTAATATTCGCATGCATGAATTTCGTCACATCTTTTGATATATTTTCAGATTGGTCGGTGCTTTGAAAGCCGATGATGATGTATCGAGGTCTTTCAAGGCTGTTGGTTGTCTTCACGGCCCAAATATCTGAGGATGTGTCTCACGAAGTGTGGGTAATTCATAGAGTTCCCATATACGATAAGCCACCTTTACTTTTGAATTATTCGCATTTTTATTGACGCGGTTCAATAGCTTCAGTTTCTGACGATCTTCCGGCACGATGTGTCCGATTCTCCATTCTATTTTGTTGATTTCCAAATGAGCATCTACTTCTCCAATAAAGGAATTTTTGAATGAGCGTGCAATAATCGAAATGAGCTCTTGCTTAACATTCAATACTCCTCTGTTGTAATCTTCAGCAAAACCCATGAGATACTTCAAGGGTAATTTACCGCTGAATACATTGCTGACGGAATCCAATATATCTTGTTTATTCACATCGAGTCCCCATCCTATCGGTAGTAGCGAATTTGCATGCGTTTTTCCAAATGATATCATCGTTTTCATTGCGGTAGTTATGCCGGGTTTTCGAACAACGGCCACTTGTTCTCCACCCATTTCATAGCGAATTTCGTCGAAGAGGAAGGCGAGGGCGTTATTGGATAGGTTGCACTGCTTCGTGGCATCAGATGGTGTGAACTTCCCCTCGATATAAATGTAACTGTCTGCAATATCGAGTATAAGGTCTTGAAAATTCATTGGGATTCGGATTTCATCTGAATTTTTGTAATATGGTGATCCATACGGTTTATATGTATGCTCGTGAAGGCGATTAGAGAATGATCAAAAATGGGCTCCTCGAATACCTCCAGCTTACCACTCGTGGTGATGGTCGCCATGTTATTACTATTTTTTATATCGCACCTTCAAGCCAATAGATTTGAGAAAGTTCAAACTACTATCTCTAGGCCTATATCTTGACCGTTAGGCGGGCATACGTGGAATGAATCGACTTTAAGATTTTCTCTTCTTTAAATGCACATGATCATAGTCTTCAGCAAATGCATTGCGCCGATTCAACTGCTGCCGCTGCTGTAATCGCTGGCTATTGAAGCACAACCCCATTTTTTAGAAACAATTATGGTGAAATCAATAGCTTTATCAATTATTATCATCTGCTCAGCGTTAGGAAATGATAAATACTGAGTTAAAATTTTGTCAACTCCTGCTTTATACTGATTTTTTCACAGGTGATCATCGCTCACCATCGTTTTTGCTCAATTGTTTGAATGCTTATCGAGGGTTGTTTTCTCATATCAGATTGCATCGATTTGATATCCTTTTCCATATGTTCACACTTTTTTACAATTTCCACTAATTTCAGCCCAACCGTAATGAGATCTTCCCTGACTGATGCGGAATATATTTCTACGCCATCTAATCTCAAATTGATTTTATCAATATCAGAATCTAATTCTCCTCTGATCTTTGAGATGTAAAAAGCAACATATTCCTGATTAACACAATCCGTACTCTCTTCAGGCTCGGCTATATTTTTCAAACGTTTATTTTCCATATCAAAGTTTCCATCGGAAGTCAATTCAAAACCAACTCCGGGTTGTCCTCGCAAATCAGTATTTGAAACTGCCTTACTTCTGCGACCAAACTTATCGATGCTTTCACCACTCATTTTTGTGATACACTTATGACGGTCGTCGATATTGTGAATCAACATATGAGAAATGATGATCGTTATAGCCTAATCAGTTCCAATTTAACTATTATTTTTTCACCATTGAAATTGATTAGATTACCATTATCATCCAATATGCGTAAAGTGATATTGTCGAGGTACTTACGACCGCCAGGCTGGATTATGATAGGCGTCAGTCCATTAAACCTACTGTGTAGGTATATAGAGACTGGCTTGAACGTTTGAAGTTCCATTTGCTTTAGATATGTATATAAATATCTTGGATTTGGATAGGAATTCTGATTTCATCAGAATCATTGAATGTCGTATTTGCATAAGGAGAATCACTATGCATCTCGAAATCGGTTATAGAATCATCCATCAATACATGTTCAGCAATATTCAATATATTAAAGCTCGTTTTTGCGTTTTTTTCCTTCTTTTTCCACTATCTAGTGTTTTTGTTTTTCTACTACTGCTGCTGCTGCTTCTGCCGCCACAAGAACACTTGAAAAATAATTAAATTTGTCCTGAATCTTGAACTGATGTTGACTATGAGGTTACACCAAAACTCGTAAAAGTAGCCGTTTTGACACAGACACTTAAAGTACTCAAAAACCAAGTGAAAAAAGAAAATGTCGATTTTCTGATGTTAACCGTTCAACAACACTTCCTTTAGTGACACATTTTCCAGGAACTTCATTAATTATACTATATATTTGAATTGAAGGGGTTATATTTTCAGGAGTGATTAATTTTCATGAAAGTGTTTGGCTTTCTACTACTCCATCTCCAATTTGTTACTGAAGCCTCAGGGCAAGTGTTTTACGGCGATATATCGATGTATACCAGTGAGGATGACAGTGTTCCATATAAGAGCAATTTGTTACCATTCATTTAAAGTAGTAGTATAGTATCGTGAGTCGATTTGGATTTTTACTAACAGAGTCATCAAATATTTAAAATACATTGGCGTACACTAGGGTACATGATTTACCGGAAATGGGTTGCCCGAAGAGGGGTGCCCGAAAAGGGGTTGCCCGAAGAGGGGTGACCGAAAAGGGTTGCCCGAAGAGGGTTCACTGAGCCAAAAGGTCTCTACTACATACGAACATACTCACTTCAACACGGTTAGCCTACACCCTTCGGTCATTGACGCTGAGGGCTGCCTCTTTTTTTCACAACACCCTTCCATCATTGACGATCTACAAGAACAAGGGTTGCTCAAAAACTCTCACATTTTCAACACTACCTATCATTGTTCTTCACAAACAAGGCCTTTTTGACACACTTCTTCACCCCAATCAACCACACCCCCAACGACCTCGATGGAGAACTCGATGACATCGGTTACAATCGTACCTAGAACCACGTTAACTATACTACTCAGAAGCTGTCCTTTCTCAAGGTCCTATAGGCCAAGATCTTCCAGTTGCATATGCATCTCGGACACTGAATGACTGAGCAAAATACTCAGTCATTGAAAAAGAGCTTTTCGCGATCGTATGGGCTACCAAATACTTTCACCCATATCTCTTTGGATGTAAGTTCAATATCACCACTGACCACAAACCTCGTCAGTGGTTATAATCTCTGAAGGACACCAGCTCAAAATTGCTGAGATTGCGAATCAAACTAGATGAATACGATTATACCATAATCTACAAAAAATGCAAGTTGAACATCAACGCCGATGCTTTATGCCGTGTCGAAATCCACACTAAGGATATCAAAACCTTTTGGGAGGAATTGGATGACATACTAGATGAATCACAACGCCTAACAAATAAATGTCACGGATACCGTACCAGAGAGGGAGACCAGCGCCCAGTATAGTATCGTGAGTCGATTTTGATTTTAACTAACCCCCATGTCGGTTTAAAGAGAAAGGATTTCATTTCAATTTTGTAATAATTGTCTTATTGTCGATTGCGTCTTGGGAATGATATGAGGAGGGCAATACATTACACTACACCCCTTTCATATACGGCGACCAGGCAATTTCAAATAATCACTTCAGAATGTCCACCAAGTTTGTATGAGGTAACTTAATAATTGAATTCTAACTTATGAGAGAGTATATAACATTTTACAAGTTGATAAAGAGATAATTTTTATTTGAGAATCAGCTATTTTAGATGTGCTTTCTTGTAAAATTTTAATCTTACCTTTTGAAAATTTTTTGCTTAATGCTTTTGTTTTACTCTCATGTTATATTTTTACACAGTTATTTGTTATATTTTATAAACATACTTATTTATTCATTTTATTGGTTTTGTAATATAAGTCTAATCTGAAGGTTGTTATTCTTCAATGGCTCACTATTCGGGCAAGTCTCGCGTTATTTCAGGGTAATTGAAAGGACTTTACCCCTAAGTATTAGATCCTGCCTTGTTCCGGAGTGGAACTTAAAAAAAAACAAATATTTTTGAAAAAAATTTTGCTA